CTGGGGAATTTTTCTAATAAAGAAAATGTAGAAAAGGCGGGCGATTAAATAAAATAAACCCTAGAAAATTAGAAAATTTTCGGGTTCTCACACTCATTCTTTTCGGGGCGTCACATTACCGGGCCCGAACGCCAAACAGGAAGAGGAATGGTAATACTCGAGTATACCGGAATCAAGAGTCTCAATACCCAAAGATTTCCCCAGGAACAGGCACCCATGGATTGTCAATTATCTCGACCAAGCCCTCGCGGGCTCGATTTAATTAACTCCCCATGAGGTTGAGCTCAGGTTTAACAGGAAGGTCGTTGGATACTCTTCCAAACAATATCATAACAAGTGCAAGTAACAAGTTCAAGTACATAACAAGTACAAGTAATAGATTCCAGTTTGTTCAGTACAGGCAAGAGAACGAGTGTGATAAAGTACACCCTCGTCTCATACAAGATAAACAGTCAGGAAAGACATTCAACTAGCAATTTGCAAGTACAGGAAACCAGTTTAGCAATAATTCAGGGGAGTGGTACACTCACCTGATCAAACAAGGATAATTTCAAAAGTTTCCTTCCCAAGTGTGGCTTTACTCGCCGGCACCTCCTAGAACAATCAAGGCAAACACTTAAGACTGGACTCCAAAACCTAATAAGTGAAATTCGCAAGTAAAACTCGATTACAAGTCAGGTGCCTATCCAAATGAACCATTAATGTAAAGCGAAGAGGTGACTTTGGAGTGAAAAGATAATGATTAGTCCTAAAGGCATGAACAACCTCAAAACCCTACCTACAATGACTGACCAACTTCAAATTTGAAGTAGAAAATGAAAGTAAGATCGATACTAGGAAAACAGGATTTTCCAGTTTCGCGCAACCCTATATGAAAAATCATATCTCAAGTTTTGTAAGTCAAAAATTAGTAAAAGTTATACCGTTGGAAAATACATTCAAAGGGCTATAACTTTCCAGAAAATACCCTCATAAGATTCAGAACGCAAGTCAGTCAAATTCAAGCCTCAAGTTGCTACTTTATCCAGTGAAAGACAGAATAGGTACAATATTTCAGTCAAATTTGAAAAATCACCATAAATGGTACAGACATAAACAGGGTCTGAAATTTACACGGTTTATAACGCTTTGAATCTAGTTTAAAATTCCGCAAACGGAATTCAATTCCGACATTCCTACATCAAGATATAGTAAATTTTCTGAGACTGTACAGAAGCTCCACGAAAATTTTGACAGCATTTCCCTTGTCTTTCTTTACTTTCCAACCAAACCTCAACACCCACAAATCACAAGCTATCAAACACCTTTAATTAGCGCTACAAGAAGGCTCGAATATGAGTCATAAACCGAATCCACATATCACTAGAGTAAAATCATAAGGAACGTATAAGTGCAAAATCAAACTAGGACATATGCGAAAACGAAGTTTGGGTTGGAAATCAAAAGGCAGGTTTGCTATTGCTTAGCGGAATTAACGTAACTGAAGCCATCCTTGTCGGATTGAGGTGTAATTTACACCATTTCGAAGCTAAGGAAAATTTATACAATGTTGAAGAAGGCCACTCAATCCAGTTTGTAGTGCAACTGGGTCAAAATGTCAATGTACCAAACCAGAACTGCATAAACAGGTTAACAAATCGCATTCTGGTTAAATAACCATAATTCAGGCTACCTAAGTCCAATTCAAGTGATTCCAAATCCATCCGAAAGCTAAGATACCAAGCTATATTTCTTAAGAAGACATCAACAACCAAATCAGTCGTATTCCCAATCAAATCAACCAATTACCAAAGCCGAATTTCAGTTTCGGACAGAAACAGGACAGCAGGGGTATTTCAGTCCTTTCGCAGGCTACATTGCTCCGATTGAGCTGAAATTTTGCAGGCAACTATAAAATACCATCCTATACAACTTTCATGTTTTAACCCAAGGCTAATTTGGCCTCTAACGAGGATAAACAGTACCAGGCGAAATGGGGTTAAATGAAACCCTAACTTCCGAAATTTCCTTTCAATGCGGAAATTTTCCGTAAATAGCCACAACTTACACCCTCTAGCTTCATTTTAGATCATTTCCAACCATCATCCAAGGCCACACCATAATAATCATATGAAAACAGAAAAATCATCATTAAATAGAAAAATGCACCAAATTCCACCAAAAGTCATGAAACAACACCTTAATCCATTACTTCATCTCACATAAGTCAATAATCAAACATTATTGAGAAGAAGGAAAGGTCCCTTAGTTACTCGCCTTCACAACCCAAGAAAAGGAACAACTTAGCACCTTAATCCTCCAAACCACTTCACTAATCACCCTACAACCACTCACTTAAGGGTTTTTATGGAGCAAATACAAGATTAAACGGTAGGAATTAAAGATTGAACAAGATTTGAGGTAGAAATTTGGAGAGGATTTCCTTTCTTTTTCCTTGGAGGAGTTCGGCCACAAGAAGCTTGGAAATGAAGAGATTTTTGGTCAATTTTTGGTTTATTTGATAAAATGGTAAAAGAGTGAATAGTGGTCAAAAAGTAAGACTTAATCTCCAAGTGACACTTGTCACTTTCACTTAATATATGGTTATCCTTTTGTCCCTCTCACACCAATTCATCTAGTAACCTCTAGTTATCTCTTAACACCTGCTAAATGAATCCCGGTATACGAAACTTAACCTAACTGGCCGAATTTTACCGAACTTTCCGCACTAGTGGGTCCCACGCCCAGTATACACTTCTAAAATCTCATGAACTAACTTATACTAGAAAAATGAGTTAAAACCCTATTTACTCATAAAATGAGTTAGAAAATTTCCTAATAAAGAAATTACAGAAAAATGTGTGATTAAATACAATAAAACCCTAGAAAATACGAAAATTTACGGGTTCTCACAAGTAATTTCATCAATAATAGAGGCATCATATGGACCTTCATTAACAATAAACCACAACTCAATATCAATAGACTGTAAGAAAATAATCATCCTCTCCTTCCAACTCATATAATTTGATCCATTGAACATTGGGGGTCTAGTGACGGATTGTCCTTCAAAAGACATGGCATTGTTAGTTGTCATTTTCACTCCAAAGCCGATTGAGCTTAATCTCTAGGAGACCAAGCTCTGATACCAATTGTAAGGATCGAAAACAACCTAAGAAGGGGGTGAATTAGGTAGTTTAAAAACTAGCCAAGATATGAGTCACTTTTGAGAGCTTGCCCTCTTTTTCTAAAGGACCACACAATGGAGCAATTGATGAATAAGCACAAGTGCTTGGGAGTAGAAGAGATAGACAATTTATATTGCAAGACAGTAAGTAAAAGGATATAATAGCAAACCAAGTTTCAAACTCCACTTGAGTTTGCATACCACTTTATATAGCAAGCTTCTTCAAGTTGATCAACTTACAACCAAACTCTTGTGTACAAAGGAAGGATCACTTCCTCCTCGCCCCAAGCCGTACTTGGTCAAGAAAGGAAGTTTTATTATCACTCGGATAACCCTCACAAAGCTACACTATTGAAGAAATAGAAGCACACTTGAAAAGCTTATTGAAATTTCCACAACTAAGAGTACAAATCTTCTTTAAAGAGTATTCTCACACTTGAATCACTCAAGATCTGATGTAGTCTCAATGTGCGAAAGTTATTTGAAGTGGTTGACTTTTTTCTTTTTATAAGGGACCAAAAAATTCTTCAATTAATGCTAAAAATGGATAGAAGACAGCTGAAGAGTCAACTAGCCGTTGGTGGTGTCGGACGTCCGGTAGGCTAGTTTTCTGCGTCCGAACGCAGGCAGTGAGTTCAAGAAGTTTTCTTGAAATGTTTAGGACATCCAGTACCTCCAGAATATACATCCAAAGGTATGATGTACAACTGGAAATTTTCCTTCAGTTCGTTCGGACGTCCGGTGCCTCCAATGTTTTGCATCCGAAGTGTCGCAATGTTTATCAGACGGCCGGTACTCAGGTGTTGTACATCCGATCGAGGTCAATTAGCTTAGAGGACTTGGCTCATCATCTTTGGACGTCCGAGAGTGGGTTCTTCATGCGTCCGAAGTTACTCAATAGTTGTCGGACGGCCGATGCAATTTTTATGTGCATCCGACAGCTATTTCAGCATATGTTAGCCTTTGAACCTGTTCTGCTCCAATTCTGGAAAGATCTAATCAGAGAATATTAGTAACATCCATTTTTTGTAGTCATCAAAAGTTACGGATTAAGATAAACAGGTACATCCTGGAGGAAATAAAATGTACCAAAACTTGAAGAACTTGTATTGGTGGGAGAACATGAAGAAGGAAATTGCTCAGTTCGTCGAGATTTGTTTGATTTGCCAGCAGGTTAAAGGTGAGCATCAGAAACCATCTGGCCTATTGCAACCTTTAGAGATACCCGAGTGGAAGTGGGAAAACATCACCATGAATTTTGTATCTGGATTGCCAAGGACGCAGAGAGGTCACGACGCCGTTTGGGTGATAGTAGATAGATTGACCAAATTTGCTCATTTTCAGCCAATTAGTATGAAGTACTCACTGGAGAAGCTAGCTAAGTTGTACTTGGATGAGATTATAAGGCTACACGGAATACCAGTAAGTATTGTATTTGATCGAGAGGCTCGATTTATTTCTCGATTCTGGCAAAAGATGCAAGAAATGTTAGGAATCAAGTTGAATTTTAGCACTACTTACCATCCCCAAACTGATGGACAGTCGAAAAGGACAATTCAGACCCTTGAGAACATATTGAGAACCTGTATTTTGGATTTTGAAGAAAGCTGGAGTAAGTACTTGACATTGGTGGAGTTTGCTTATAATAATAGTTTCCATTCATCCATTCAAATGGCTCCGTATGAAGCTCTTTAGGGCGGGAAGTGTAGATCTCCGATTTGTTGGGATGAAGTAGGTGAAAGAAAGATCTTAGACCCAACTGCAGTACCATGGATTGAAGAAGTACGAGAAAAAGTGAAGTTAATACGTCAAAGGATTCAGACAGCTCAGAGCCATGAAAAAGAGTTATGCAGACAATAGAAGGAAGGATTTGGAGTTTTCGATTGGAGATCAAGTTTTCCTTAAGATCACACCTCTGAAAGCAAGTCTGATGGCAGGAAAAGGAAAGAAGTTGCAACCAAGATTCGTAAGGATTTATAAGATTCTCCAACGTGTGGGAAACGTGGCATATAAGTTGGAACCGCCACCAAGTTTAACTCGAATTCATAACATTTTTCATGTGTCTATACTCAAGAAATATTATCCAGACCCGTCTCATGTACTGCAACCGAAAAATATTGAGATTGACGAGACACTGACTTATGAGGAGAGACCGATGAAGCTTTTGGGATCGTAAGGTGAAGGAACTAAGGAATAAGCGAATCCCTTTGGTAAACGTCCTATGGAGGAATCACGGAGTAGAGGAAGCCACTTGGGAAGTAGAGGATGAAATTCGAAAGAAGTTCCCAGATCTATTTCCAGATCAATGTATGAATTTTGTGGACGAAATTCTCTTAAGGGGGAGAGGATGAGAGGACTCATGTTTTATTCTTAATTTAGTCATTTTCAAAATTATTTGCCCTAGTGTTACTTAATTATTCTAGTATTGCATGAATTGCCCTTAAATTTCATTTTTTCGGGCGCGCGTCGAAAGTTTATCTAAAGTCGTGCCGGTTCGATTAATTGGTGAATTGAGGAATTTGTATTAGACTCGTAAGTATGATTAATTAAAGTGTTAGAGAAATTTCCTTGGAGGATTAGTGTATGAGTGTATCAAACAAGAGAGAAAAGTGATAGTACAAAACCCTATTACGACACTATTGAAAGTTGACTTTTGGCAAAGCTTAATAGCTACTTTTCCCTCCCATCCTCCAACACAAGACTCACACTCAACACTCTCGTCTCTCTCTCTTCCATTCAGCCAAGACAAGAAAAGGAAAGGGACGAAAGAAACTTCATCTCCTAGCTTCGATTTCACTTGCAAATCATCATCCAACTTCATAGATTATTGGGATTTCATTCTATCTTGGAGAAAGAAACAATCTTGTGGAATTTCTTGGAGGAATTTTGGTGAAAAAATTTGATTTTCATTTAGGGTTTAAAGGGTAATCATGTGACAGCCCCACCTCCCCCTAAGGCGAACCAGAAGGTTCGGCGGACCGCCTGCCCAGCTCTCGTCGGGACTCAGTCGAACCTCAATCAAATCCGAAATAAAACCACAAGATCAAATGAAATACCAATCCAAAACTTAAAGCGAAACTTATATACATTTCTATCTCAAAAGGAAGTACAAATATCGAATATACAAAGGTTCTCAATTCTATCTCACTAGGGCGAGAACCATTACAAAACACAAAACTAGGCTAGGCTAACCTACACTGGGCTCTCGTCCTTGCTCGCATCCCCTTGTTAAGGAAAACAAAACTAAAAGGGGTGAGCTAAAAGCTCAGTGAGGTTCCGAACACATATTCAACAACAAAGCCAATACATTAACCATCGATAATCAATAATTCAAGAAACATTTACAATGGAAAGCGATAATAACACATACATTAAAAGGATACGGGCTCACAGGGAGCCATTTGTTCGTTCGTTTGTTCGTTCGTTCTCCTGTCATTCCCCTTATTCCTCCAATCATTTGAAAATGTATTTTTGTAAGTAAACCCCTCGTTCGATCGTTCATTTCATTCACCCCCACCTGGACGTTGGCCAGGCTCCACCAACCTACAAGGTAATACTCGAGTATACCAACGTTCACACCCAGGGTCACCATATCGCCCGACCGAGTCCGCTTCTGGCTCGACTCGATCGGTAACGAAGGGCAGGGCCCAGTTCAGCCAAAAGGCTTACATCATGCACAACTAATGTATCAATCATTAAATCATTGAAAATTTCACGTTTCATTTAGGTCGTGCGCGATAAAGTACACGCTCACCTAGAAAATTCGTTTTGGAAATCATTGGAAACACTTAACACATTATCAAACAATAACAAAAAGTCATGAAGTCAAGGAGAATATAACAAATAAGGAACACTCACCTATTTAAGCAAAATAATGTCCAAAATATCCTCCCGGATAACACTCTCAATCGCCAAGAAACCCTAAAATAGCCAAGAGAAAATATTACAGTTAAACCCCTCTAAAGTTTAAGGGAACCCAAGAAAATCCGAATAACGACTAGTACAAAATATAAGTATAGTTTTGGAAGTGAAAAGAGTACATTTAAACCAAAGGCTATGAGTAAAATATTTGTAAAACTTATGCTTGCTCGTAAAACTTTGAAATCTCCATTTAAGTCGAAGTGACAAAGAAAACGTACTCCGAGCAGTCATTATTTTATTTCTCAAGGGTATAAGTTCAGCCAAGTCCTTACTTATATACCTTGGTAAAAGAAGGTGCAAACATCCTAGATGGTTCAAGTGATATTCACTCTTAACCCTTACTCAAGTTGCAAGTATAGTTCTCTAGTTCTCGAGCATAAATCTCGGCAGCACGCCCTTTGTGTTTACCTAATTTTTCAGCCATTTATGGCTTCATTATTTTCCTCAGCCAATCCCAAAGTTATACAAAATATAAATTCATCACAATAGCCATTCAATAGGCTCAAAGTCATATGAGTACAAAATCAAGTTAACAACATGTGCGGAAATGAGCTTTAGTAAAAGACAGATTTGATAGGGTTTTGCGGAATGGACACATCCGAGGCTACGCTTATCAGATTGGTGTAAAACTTATATCTTTTCGAAGCTAAGACAGATAGATACAACTTTGATGAAGGCTACTCAGTCCAGTTTACAATGTATCGAGGTCAAATTTACCAAAATAACCCCAGATTTTCCAGTTCAGTGTACTGCAGCAGTCCTGACTTATTCAGTCATATCTCAACACCTACAACTCCAATACAAGTTATTCCAAAGCCATTTGAAAGCTAAGATATAAGACTATAAGTCTTAAGAAGACATCGACAACCAAATCAGTAGTATTCTTGGTCAAAACATCCAATTACAGAAGCTGATTATCAGTTTCGGATAAATACAGGGAAGCAGGGGTATTTCAGTCTTTTCTTAGGTTACGTTACTCTGATTGAGCTGAAATTTTGTAGGCACCTATAAATCATCATTCTATACAACTTTCATGTTTTACGTGAAGTCTAATTCGGCCTCTATCATGATGAAACAAAAACGGGCAGAATGGTGTTTTGTGAGAATTTAAACCTGGAATTAGAACTTTGTTGCTAGAATTTCATGTTTGTTAGGTTTAAATCATCAAAACCTCCAACTAGCAACTTCATAACATCAATTAAAGGATATATGATCATAATCAAAGCTCAAAATGAAACCCTAGCTAATCATCCCCCCAACTCCAACAAAACTCACTAATTAACCGTTGTAACTCAAAATTAAAAGCTTCTAGCCATATTTAACCAAAATTGGGAAAAAGAAAAGGGTGAAAAGCCATGATACCTTCCTAGGATGCTTGTAGGAGAAGACCACAACCTTTCCTTCAAAATCTTGCCATACAAAGCTCTAATCTTCCCTAAAGAGTAGTTTTGGTGAAGTGATTCACAAGATTTATGGTTGGAGTTTAAGATTAGGCAAGAAATTTAGTTGATGAAGATGAAGTTTCTCCCCCCTTTTTCGCTCTCTATTTTCGGCCAAGGTGGTGAAGAAATGGAGAAGATTTGGTTAAATTCTTGTTTTATGATGGTTGATACAAATTAGTCAAAGCTCCTTCCAATAAGGGCTTGACATGTGTCCTTTCTAGAGTTTTCTTCCTTCTTCCTTTGGCCCACCATGGTGACTCATGTATAAGATATTTTGAGGGTTAATTAGTCAAAATAAAATGAGGCGATTAAAGAAATAAAGTAGAGTTTAATCGGTGTACTCACTCGGTAACGAACGGTACACGTCAGTTCTAACCGTTTTCCTTAAATTACACGTACTAGGGTTTTTACTTCCTATTCACTAACTTTATATCATAGCTTCTAATCACATATTATTTCTCACCTAAAATTCACTCTTAAGCACCAAATTTGATCCTTACTCCATACCGGATAATTACACTACGGGTACACGAAAAACCCTATTTCACTTCGAATTGAAATCGGAAAGGAAAACCCTAATTTCCTATTATCATTGGCACTTTTTCTAGGGTGATTGAGTAGTAAGATGGTATAGAATAGCATTTTCCAAATAATTTTCAAACAAAAGGAAATTTTCAAGAAATATATAAGGAATTTGCAAGTCCTCACAAATTGTGAGAACCCGTAATTTGCATTTTCTAGGTTTTCGCATTTTTCATGGCTTGTTTTCTGCACTTTCTGTATCCGAAAAATTTTCTAGATAAATTTTATGAGCAAGTATAGTTTTTAGATAATTTTTCTAGTATTGGAGAGTTTTTAGAAAATTAAGAATATATATTGGACGTGGGACCCACTAGTGCGAAAAGTTCGGAAAAATTCGGCCAATAAGGTTAAGTTTCGGATACTGTGTAAAATTTATCGGGTGTTAAGAGATAAGTAGAGAGTGAGATTGATTGATGTGAGAGGAAAAAGAAAGATAAGATTGCATTAATGTAGGTGACAAGTGTCACCACTACATTGGTTTTGACTTAAGAGTTACTATTCACTACTTTGACTTTTGACCAAAAATTGGTTAAATATCTCAAAAATGCACAAAAAATTACCATTTCTTACCTCTTGTTGGCCGAACCTCTTGTGCAAGGAAGGAAGAAGAAAATCTTCAAGTTCTAGCTACTACTTGGTGCAAATCACCCAAAAACATTTGCTTACATCCATTTCTACTCCATAAAAATCTTTCTAGTTGGTGATAGAGGTTGTTTGGTGAAGTTTTCTTGAAGAGCTAGGGTGGTCTACAACTCCTCTTCTCTTATTTCTTAGGTAAGTGATGATTAAACATTCTACTACACTTATTGATGCTTATATGGTGCTTAATGGGACCTAAAGTGATGGCTTATGTGACTTGTTTCTTGATTTGAAGTGTTTTGGTGAAGTTTTTAATTTTATGATGAATTTTCTGGTTTCATATGATCTTGATGGTGTGGTTGTTTTTGATGGTTGGTAATAAGGGGCTTTAGCTCTAGTAGGTGCATATGATAGGAAATTGCAATCAATTTTGAATTTGGAAGAATTTCTGGAAAATTAGGGTTCTTGGTTGAACATTCTGTCCGAAATTTTAGGTCATAGATAGAGGCCGAATTGGACTTTTCTCAAAACATGAAAGTTGTAGGTATTGATGAGTTTGAAGTGCCTCCAAAATTTCAGGGCATTTGGAGTAGTGTATAGTGAGTTATGTCGTTTTTACTGTTGCTGTTCTGGGTGAACAGAATGTGCGAAC